TTATAATTATTATTCTGTTATATATATGGATGGTGTTTTGTTTCAATGCTTTCTAGATCTTACTCATTCAGAATGGTTTAATGCTTTACAACTATTAAATTCAATTAATGTGGAGGTATTTCACAGATGATACAGTAAACGAGGGATTAGTAGTTACTTTAGAACAATTAAAACCCAGGATAGTGTCTAAAAAACAGGCTAATTGGGCCTGAAATCCTGTATCACCAGCAAACTTTTAATAGACAATAATTGAAAAATCAGTTATTAATGCTACTACTATTATTAGCATTTGTTTCTCACACTTGCTGATATACCACAGATTTGTTTTGCTTGTGTTTCCGATATAATAAAATGAAAAAAAATATATTATAGTATCGGAATATTCTGAATTTAATTGTGACACGAAAAATACATCGATTAGTATGTTTGCCCATAAAGTTTGTTCGAAATGTTATGGTGGTGGTGAATTAAATTATCGAAAGGATCGTGATTCTGTTTCTTTTAGATGCCACAGGTGCAAGATAAACAGTTGGTCATTTGAAGCAAATCTGGGAAAATTTCTTGAGGAACTACTTTTTTGTTTATTTGGCATCTAATTTGCATAGAATGCACGTTGAACGTCAGCTGTATGGCTGTGGGCGTGAGTAGTCGAACAGCTGTTGAATGGGGAATTTCATACGACGCATGATGATTGTTTTATCGTCTAATTTTACCGGAACGGAAATTGGATGGACCTGGAAATGTTTTCGAAATCGAAGAGATTGTTGTGAGCAAAATAATAAAAAAAAACTAGGAGAAAGGTTCGAACTCTTTGTTCGGCATACGAATAAGTTTTATCCAGGAGCGAGTCGTGTTTTGGTTTGGAAAGAGCCAGATATTGTACCTTCAGTTCTGAAAATAAGTGCGAAATTAATCCGTAAATCATAAGAGGATGAATGTAGACGTTTGTGTTAAGAATGCGGAAAAAGTTTCTATCATGGAAAAGGACAAAGTTACGATGGAGTCATCTGAACCATGTTTTTTACCGAATAAATCGGAGAAAAGAAATTAGAAATACGTCAACGGTGAGTGAGAGATTATTTATTTAAATGCCAGTGAAGTAAGTAGGTGAGTCGGTCGCCATCTTGTTTGTGAACATCGCCTTCACAAACAAGATAGCGACCGGAAGTGCCGCCATTTTGATTACCTAGGCAAACTTTTATCTACTTCTCAACGCTATTGCAATTATTAAAAAAACACTGCCACAAGAAAACTGCTACTCTGGAGTATTTAAATTTACAACAATGAAAAATCAGTTACTAATGCTATTATTATTATTTAACATAACAATGAACATAATTTTATATTGTTTATTTTCATAAATTGTAATATTACTAGTGTTTACTCACATCAGTACAATGAATTTTAGTTATATTCGTAATCTTGTATTGTGTTTCGCACACTTGCTGATACACCAAAGATTTATTTTGCATGCATTAGAGCCCTACGATAAGGATAACGCAGTCTTAGTAGTGGAAGAATCAGCCATGAATGATGAACATCAACGCAAATTGATGGAAAGAATGGTTTATAGTAATATCACAAGGATTGTCGCCAAATTTACTGCGACATCTCTATACTTTACTATGAAATATAAAGGAAATGGTAACTGTAGTTTGTTGATGAATTCGAATTCTGTGATGCCCATGCTGAAAAGTATAGATAATATAGGAAACATGGTGAAGTTATGGAAATTATGCGTGAAAATTGATGATAAAGAGTGAGTTTTCTGTTTAATTATGCGAAATGTATTGTTACTAGTGAAGTATTGCATGTAATAAATAGGGCATAATGTTCATTTCTTTCACTATTCATTTATCTAATAAGAAATTATATCGAAAGCTTTAGAATATCAAATGCCAATTATTTTAATGGATCACTTAAAGAATGGAATCAAAATAATTTCTATCCTGGCAGAAAGTATGATTCGTCTAATTTAGCCAGAATGTATTTTCTTACAGATAGTTTTAAAGTCATGTTCTTATACAATTTATTATATGAATGTTAATATAAATGGCTCATGGCGTAANCCGCCATGACTGTGTGCACGTAGGTAAACGTTAAGCAAGTTACGATAGAATCATCCGAACCATGTTTTCTTACTGAATAAATCGGAAAAAAGAAATTAGAAATACGTCAATGGTGAGTGAAAGATTATTTCTTTAAAAGCCAATGTAGTAAGTAGGTGTGCAGTTCGCCATCTTGTTTGTGGACATCGCCTTCACAAACAAGGTGACGACCGAAAGTGCCGCCATTGGGACTACCTACGTAAACTTATCCAACCTTTCCAACGCTGTTCAAAAGTGATTTATTTTTACGCAAATTATTTATTGGCGTATTTAAATTTGCAAGAATGAAAAATCAGATATTAATGTAATTATTATTACTTAACATAATTTTCTATTGTTTATTTTTATAAATTGTAATATTACTAGTGTTTTATTGTTTATTTTTATAAATTGTAATATTACTAGTGTTTACTCACATCAATATGAATTTCAGCTATATTCGTAATCTACTACTAGTATTGTATTTCGCACACTTGCTGATACACCACAGATTTGTTTTGAGTGCGTTAGAGCCCTACGATAAGGATAACGCAGTCTTACTACTGGAAGAATCAGCCATAAATGATGAATTTCAACGCAAATTGATGGAAAGAATGGTTTATAGTAATATCACAACTATTGTCGTCATGTTTACTGCGCCATCTCTATACTTTACTATTGAATATATGGGAAATGGTAAATGTAGCTTGTTGATGAATTCGAATTCTGTGATGCCCATGCTGAAAAGTATAGAAAATATCGGAAATATGTTGAAGTTATGGAAATTATGCGCAAAAATTGATGATAAAGAGTGAGTTTCTTTTAATTATGCGAAATGTATGGTCACTTGTGAAGTATTGCATATAGTTTACACGATATAATATTAATTTCGTGCACTATTTGTTTATCTAATAATAAATTATATCGAAAGCGTTAGAATATCGAATGCCATTTATTTCAATGGATCACTTAAAGAATGGAATCAAAATAGTTACTATCCTGGCAGAAAGTATGATTCGTCTAAAAAGTTTTATCAATTAAAGCATTGTAAGTATAAATGATTCATCTGTACACTAATAAGAGAAGATTACTCATGTTTACATGAATTTTTAGTCTGTAAAGAAAACCAGTGTGAAAATGGTGGAACGTGTCGCGATACTTTAGAAGGTTATAAGTGCCTATGTAGGCCTCAATTTCGCGGGCGCAATTGCTCTATATGGAGATTCGCAAAACCAGTAAATAATTGTCCTCTCAAATGCTGGAACAAAGGATACTGTGCTTCAGAAAATGGAACTTTCAGATGCGTTTGTAAAGCTGGATTTTCGGGAAAATTTTGTGAAATATATAACGCATGCAGGAAGTGTATGAATATATTTACACAATTTTTAAAACATTCGTAATGGTTGATGGAAATATACGAATTATTTCTTTACTAGCCAAGTGCTTAAATGGTGGAACATGTTATACGAGTACAAGATTACGCATTCCCAAATGTCTGTGCACAGCAGGATTTCGAGGTGAATACTGTGAAGAAAACATAGACGATTGTGAATCCCACGAATGCCAAAATGCCGGAACCTGTATTGATAAAATACAGGTATTCTTTTTATGGAAACTAATGGAATATCACATCTGAAGTATCATGTTTATAAATACAGTAGTTATTACTAATTATAACTATTTATTTTTAGGAATATTCGTGTTGTTGTCCACCTGGATATACCGGGAACCTTTGTGAGAAGAAATTAACGTGTTTCCGGAATGATTGTAAAAACGGAGGAACGTGCATTCTTGTTGGAAGAAGCGAAAGATGTGTTTGTTTGAAGGGATTTGACGGAAGACGTTGCGAAATAAATAATCAGTGCCGTAAGAATCCGTGTTTAAATGACGGAATTTGTGTTCCTTCTTTTCCTCGCTACGAATGCAAGTGTCAGCCGGAATTTACTGGAAAAAATTGCGCTAAACGTGAGCCATATTCTTTGACATCATTTAAGATTAATTAAGAAATAAATTCCTAAGCCGTTCGACCAAGTGCTACGAAAATCAGCAGTTGCATTCAAATATTTCTAAAATGAATAATGACCTGTATATTTGATTACTATAAAATCAATTAATTTCTATCTATATTTGATTTGCTGATTTACACGTATCGTCATCTATTGGCATTACATTAACAAACTAAATATAAATTTTACAAAAAAGGATATAATTTTGAAAATATATATTATGTTCACTCAAATACTGCGACAATCATATACCGCGAAATAGACGCGATTTATAATTACTGCGACAGGTAACGCAGCAATTGCATGAGAGCAATCGAAAGAGTTACCCTGTGAATAGTATAAATATTTAATTTTGCATATTAACACCTTTTACCTGTCTAACACGAATCACTTTTGAAGTATTAATAGTAGACCAATATTAATAGATAGTCGTTGATTATCCTCTCTATCAGGAGGGGTCAACGACTACTTTTGGTAAAATTATTTCGACCTCCTTCTGCAACAATCCGTTCTTTCAGTCGGACCAGCAGTATGGTGACATTCGAATAGAAAAATTACATAATACGAGGTTACCGGCGGGAACAAAATATGATTTTATGTGGTTTAATTCAGTAATCTTATAATGAAATTTCATTCCTTGACAGATTACATGTTGATATTGGGCTGCGAAAAGTACAGTTTTTTAAAGTTAACATTAGGAAAAAATATGACATCTTAAAGTTTTTAAGATATTGTATTTCAATTGCTGTCTACTTGACCATTGAAAGTGTGCCACTTCATACCATTCGAGTACCGCGATAAACGTGATAATGTTAGGCTAAATTAAGCAAACTCTTGATATTATTTTCGTTTTACTGTATGTTATAAATAGAAATTTATTATTTAATTTAAATACTTAAAATTTCAGAAAGGAGGATGTTGTACGCGTTGAAATTCGAACCAAAATCGAATTATTCAGTGAAGATAAGAGACATTCCTCCATTAAGTGAAATGACAATGTCTTTATTCGTCAAATTTCCAAATTCTGGCATTTCGGAGAACCGAGGAACAATTTTCTCATTGAAATTCGAAGATAAATATTCTTACGTACCTGAAGGATTTGCTCTCAGTGACTTTCCATACCTGAGTTTGGTTGCATTCAAAAGGACTTTTGCTTTAACTTACGCAGAGAGGTATCTCTTTTAATATACTATGTTTATATATAAAAGCATATACTCAATGTCTATGATGTTAGAACACACTACTTATTCCAATCATATACATACAATAAATTATTAAGAAGCACATATCAATTTATATATTCAATATGTATATGATTTAGTAAGTATTATGTATGATTTTAGTAAGTATTAAGATTTAACATTGTACTCGTACTGTTAATGCAATAGTAAGAACGAATGAATTATAAGTCCCTTCCAGGCAGCGGCGTTATTAAAGGCGGGCCAACGTGAATGTGTCGAGATGAACCAGTAGAATTTTATGTAATTAATGTTATATGGGGCGCCAGGTGGGCGGATGGCCGAATGGTCGAGGTGGCATCCTGTCGTTCTGGGAGCCCGGGATCGAAACCGTCTGGCTATGTCAGTATCTCGTCCCTCAACAGCCCACTGTCGCCCTGACCGAGCTCATAATGAACTGGCTAAAAGAGGCCCTCTTAATACCCACAGAATGGAAAGAGTTAAAAAAAAGGGAGGTAACAGGTGGTAATTCTGTTTCCACCTTCGGACGCAAAAACTGTTCGTTACGGTTCTGATTTGAGGTCCCCCTACTTAATTTCTATAGAGGCTTTAAGATGAGTCCACACTATGCGGATTGGCAATGCGGAATCGCAGTGGGTTTTCATTTTGAAGGAAGCCGAGTTGAACGGATGAAAGAAATATCGAATTCAGTAAAATTTCAACATGTGTTCCACAATTAAATTCATAAATAATAATAGAAATGGAAGACACGACACGATATAAATAAAATAAAATGAATTTTAATTATGAAAAGATTTTTTTGAAAATTTACTGGTGTTTTCTTTTCCCCTTTTACTTCGTGGGTTACAGGGACTTTGTCTCCTGTGGTGCGCCATGGGTCTGTGCTTAAAATGGCACGATTCGGGCGATCGTCCCACATTATGCGCTTGTGCTATAAAGTCGTCGTTCTTTGTGAAATGATTTATATCTAGTTTTATGGGATTTCAGAATCGTTGAACATAAAGATCACAATAAGCTTCGTCATCAAGTCTTTCATCAAATCACATTCACTGTATATGTTTCAACTCTGAAGACTTTGGAGCGTATCTAAAATTTATTTTTTCGACGTTTAAGTCATTGAATTATACTTAAAATTATTATACTAACAAACCGGCAGAATCTAGTTGAACGTCTTCTTGACATACACGTTTGTGAATACATGGCCTTTCGTCGTGTGGAAGTTTCGGTTTATATTGATAATTTTAAGCTAATATCGGGCGAGGCACTTGGTTGCGACGGTTATATTCAGATGTTAATGCTGTACTCATTAGAAAGATGCAATTTGCTAATAGATCTCGTTATTAACGCTCTATACTGTTCTATTTGTTTGTTTCCATCTGTCGTTACAACGCAGAATGGGATCATATTAAGATTAAATTCGAGACTACGTTATGAACTAAATTTCTGTATTTAATTAATTTACATAATTACTAAATGAATGTATTTTTTGTAGTGATATTTGGCACTTTTTCGTTCTGATGTGGGATGGAATGATCGGTAAAATATACGTTTATTGGGATGGAAATGAAATTGCGAAAGACAAAACATTCCAATCAGCACGAATTACTAAGTTAAACTGCAGTTTGGCTCTCGGTCAAAATCTAATTGGTATAGGAGAGTCAGAACCATTCTTGGGAGCAATATCGCAGGTAATATTATTATTATATTATTGATTAAATAACAGTAAAAGTGCTCAGCAAGTAAACACAGAAAATAAAACACCTTAATTTGTTGCTAAGAAATATAATTGAAAAACTAACATTTTCAGCCTGATTAACAGGCCATCATCAGGTCTAAAAAACGAAAATGGAACAGATACGTTCCATGTATAGAATACAAATATTTAAATCAAAATTTCGAACAAAAATTTTTAAAAAATATACAAGAGATACGGAAGAATATATAAAAATAACACAAAATAAAATAAAAAAATATAATAAATATTTCAATAAACTAATTCTAGCTTGAGTTTTCAGTGAACTTTTTAATCATGTACTTCCGCGCTGACGACAGGCTCTCAGCATCTTTCGCATTTTAACATCCCTCACGTAGCCTACTCCTATATATTTCAATCTTCTCCGCCGTCATTGATAAAGTGGGGGAAGATACAGGTTTTATAATTGTTGTCTCGTCCCATTTCACCACCGAACCTTGGACTTGCGACATTTGCGACAAAACTGTAGCATTGGATCCTTTTTTTACGTTATAACGATGCTCTTTGTCTTACTTTTAAGCTTCTATTGGTGACGCCGATGTAGTCTTTCTTAACATCTAGTTGGATGTTTTCATAAGGAACTTTACAGACACCTGGTTTTTCTTCTGTTTTTATTTTATCTTTATCATCCCTCAATATCTTATATAAATTCGGGGCTCTTTTTAAAACCATTCTTGTTTGTTTCCTATTAGCAACTTCTTTCATAATACTGTTCAAATTACTATTATATGTAAACTTCATGTGCCTATTGGGAGCGGTATTTAAGTTTTTTTTCTGTTTGTTCCTTTCATATTTTTTGAGTAATTCTACAATAGTGCTTTTCTTGTAACCTACGGTCTGGGTTACTTGCAATATTCTATCAATTTCTTTATTTTTGTCACCGATTCTATCACAATACAAATAAGCTCTTCTAATCAAAGTTTGAAATGCGGCCATTTTATATCGATATGGATCCATGGACTGTGCTGGTATATATAGCGGGTTGTGAGTAGGTTTAATATATACGCTGGTGGACAAATCATCTCCCATGAACTCGATATTAATGTCCAAGAAGTGCACATTCAAGAAACTTTTTTGCTCTAATTTTAATCTAAGACCATCTTTGTTATTATTGATTCTATTCAAAAATTCATGTATCCTGCTATTATTTCTCCATAATATAAAAATGTCATCCACATATCTGACGAAATGTATGACATCTTCCTTAAAATTTCGTAGAACTCCTCTTTCTAATCTTCTAACTACTAACTCGCAAAGAATTCCAGAGAGGGGACTTCCCATCGGAACCCCTCTTTTCTGCCTGTATATTCCGACCACAAAAAGTAAAACAAGATTGATGGCATATCAGGTTAGCTAGTTCGTCTAGGTCTTGGGTGTAACTAAGCAACTGAGGGTTGTTGTTGTACATGAAATTCAATAATGCCTCCACACACGAATCAATCATTACTGAAGGATACATGCTTTTATAATCTAAAACGGTCGCTACTTCCTCTTCCATTAAAGAAATATTTTGCACTTCTTTCACTACGACAAGAGGATCTTTTGCCACCAGTCTATCATCTTCTAGCTGTGAGGATAAATATTCATGTAGCCTTTTTTCTAAGATAAAGGTGGGCCCCCTACTCTTCTATACTACTGGTCTTAATTCATTTCCGGTTTTGTGCGTCTTAGCAAACGCAAACAATCTTGGAGCTCCTGAACTTGGATTGTGACATTTCTTCAGAAAAGGCAAAACGGCAGCGAGACTTGAGCGTTCTAACTTCTTGACCCTTCTGTCCAAAGACCCAATTATTTTGTCGTCAACAATTTTACATTCGGTCTTATTGATGTAAGCATGTAATTCCTTGTCAAACGTATGCCTCTTCATGACAACTAAATGCCTAGTTTTGTCTGCTTTGGTCATCACTAGATCATTCGTTCTTAACCACTCCTTCGTAAGCCATATGCCTTTATTGCTAATACTAGTTGCTTTTTTCTTTTGGCGGTTACTGATGACAGTCTTCCATCTAAAGAATTCCTTATCCAAATGATCCATGCCAACTATCCCTTTCTCAATCTCCTGTATGGAGGTTTTCCAACTATTTACAACATCTGGGACAAAGTTAGGGCCTTTCTCAAACACTTCTTTGATTTTCTTCGGTATTTCTATCTGGTCCCATACTTGGAAGGTAATAGGGCTCTCCTTATTCAATCTTTTCACTTACGAATAATCCATTTCAATTTTTTCACATAATGCTTAGTGGAATTCTTCATGACTGCTTCTGTCAAATCCACAACCATATTATTGATATGAATCAGTTTATTCGGATCATCTTTGTACACGGTATCCTCTAGACGAATAAGTTCATTTAAGACCCCATACTTCCTGTACTTTGTTATTCTGATAGATTTCTTGAGGCATGCTAAACGGAACTTAACAAAGATGATACAAGCTCGAACAACATGGCCTGGTGAAAAAAGATTAACCGTTAAAGGTTAATCTTTTTTCACCTTTAACGGCCATCAGTACAGACAAAAAAGAGGAGTCCCTATGGGAAGTCCCATGTCAGGACTGTTGTGTGAGCTTGTATTGAGAAGATTGGAAAAAAGTTCTCTTTCTGTTTTCTTAAATGACATTGTGTATTTTAAAAGATACGTTAACGATGTCTTTGTAGTTTGGAAGAATGACGAAAAAATCGATGACTTTATTAACAAGATCAACAACAACGATGATGGCCTCATGCTGAAGATTGAACAGAAATGTGCCTCACGGATACATTTTTTTGGATATTGACATTGAATTCAAAGAAGGGCATTTGGCCACTAAGGTATACGTAAAACCGACACATAGCCCTCTGTACATTCCGTCCCACTCTAATGATCCTTACCAATACAAAATGGCTGCCTTCCGTGCCCTTATCCAAAGGTCCTTTCTCTATTGCAGTAGTGTGTTGGATAGGCAAAAAGAAATTAATAGAATATTACATATTGCTAGATCTCTAGGGTACAGGAAGGATATGATAACAACATTGATCAAAAAATACAAAATAAACAAAACTAAAGCTCAAAGCTGCAATTTCGGCAAAATCACAAAGTTCACGTATGATAGAAAGAGAAAAGCCATCATGAAGTAAATGTCAGCCCGCAAAAAATCCAAGTTAATTTTTAAGAGAGCTCCTAACCTGTACAAATTATTAAGGGACGACAAAGACAGCGTAAATAAAGAAAACAGAGCTGGAGTATACAGGATTCCTTATGAAAATCGTGAACTAGACATTAATAAAAATTATATTGGTGTCACTAATAGAAGTTTAGGAGTCAGATTAAAAGAACATAAGTACAATATCAGCAAGGGATCTAATGACACAATACTATCGCAAATGGCCAAGTTGAGGGGTCAGTCGTCAAATGGGACGAAGCAAGTATTATTAAATCAGTACATTCACCGACATTGGCGATTTGCGCCGAAAAAATTGAAATATATAAGAGCAAATTGCATGATTCATGCATTAATTCTAGAGATTCTGAAGGGTTGCCTTCGGCCTGGAAATACTTAATCAAACGATTGGACAGCTCTTAATTTAATGCTTTGATTTTAATATATTTTTTTTGCATAACTTGCATTTCATTGAATTTCTATATAACGTTTTTAGTATTTAATTAACCTATGCTTATTTTTTCATATATATGTTTTGTTATTTATAATAATAATTTTTAATTATTTTATTTTTCTTTATATATTTATATATGTTACAGTCAAAACCCGTTTTTAGTTAGAACGCGTTTTAACTAGTTGAAACTAGTTTATACTGAATGTCTTTGTTAAAACCCGTTTTGTCTAGTTAAAACTAGTTTTAACTCAAATTCATTTTTGACTACAGTAAATTCTAGTTTTAACTAGACAAAACCGGTTTTGTCTAGTTAATTTACTGCTGTACATGTTTTGACTTTAGATAAAACTAGTTTTAACTTTTAACATTAGTTAAAACTAATTTTAGCTACATAAATATGTTTGGGGGAAATAAAGTTGTGTGTAGTGATTCGGCGGAAGATGCCTAACATTTTGCTTATGAAGAAAATTACAGCGCTAATTTGAGTTTAGGAGCCCTCTAATGAAAATATCATATTCTGGAGTATGTCTTTCAAATAAAAGTTTGGAGTTTATTTTAAAAAATTCTATACTGTGTTTGCAATGACGACTTTTTCACTGTCTGGCATTTTAAGCATCTCACCCCAAGTATCTGGGTGAGATGCCAAATGCCATTAGGGTAAGATAACAAATATAATTGCTTAAAATTAATTTTTGAATTTCTTAACCAAATTTAATTTATTGCATATGTAGTACAAAGTACTTCATAGTAAGTATAACAGCACAGTATAAGTATTGTTAAGTTTCCGCCCGTTCTAACGTGTTCTATAGCTAGCTGAAAGCTTTTTTCAGTCCAAAAACTTTTTTGAGAAGTCCTTATATAATTTCTATGCATATCCTGCAATAAAACGAGAAAACAAAAGTTTATTAAAAATAGGCATATTGGAAATCAATTAACAAAAAATAGGCACGTTACCCCAAGAAAAATGTGGCATATTTTCCATTTGTTGGGGTAAGATGCCTAGTAGAGTCACGTGCTCCAGCATGTCCGATCGGGATCGGCGGTAGCTGACAATGGAAACTTTAGAACCTTAACTACATCACACATTAATTGTTTTTAGCAATTTTTAATAAATTCCATTTTAACTTTTAGTTTAAAATTATTCTAGAAACATTTCACAACAAAAACTTCGTTCTTATCTAGCTTTTATTCTTCTCGGATGTAGAAAATGAAGTAACGGTAGCCAACTACAGCTTTCCGCACTCAATATTGGCCCAACGATTCATCATACAAATACATGACAATATGTGACGTCACCGTTTGAAAATATCAAAAATTAGGCATCTTCCCCCGCTTACCATCTTACCCCGAATCACTCTATGCGTTGCAGTCAAACCAGTTTTTAGTTAGGATGCGTTTTAACTAGTTAAAACTAGTTTATACTGGATGTCTTTGTTAAAACCCGTTTTGTCTAGTTAAAACTAGAATTTACTGCTAGTCAAAAATGAATTTGAGTTAAAACTAGTTTTAACTAGACAAAACGGGTTTTAACAAAGACATTCAGTATAAACTAGTTTCAACTAGTTAAAACGCGTTCTAACTAAAAACGGGTTTTGACTGTAACATATATATATTTCGGTCGTTATTTGATTTCATTTGTATTTACATTTTTGTTCTATTTTATTTATATTCGAATGTTCTTAGCCTGATGATGGCCAACAGATTTGGCTGAAAACATTTGCTTTTCATTAAATTTTTCTCAGCAAAATAAGGTGTTGTGTTTTTTGATTTACATACAAATTCTGAGTGAGTGTACCTCCATATTCTTCGCCTAATTTCAAATAATTCCTGATTTTTAATCAGTTTCTTTCTAATAAATGTATAATGGCGTTGTTTATGAATGTTAAGGATAGTGCATCGTGATATTATTGATGGGTGTAAATCATTTCACAAAAGTAATTTTTGGATTTTCTAGGTAAACATATGGGACACGATACTTCCAAAAGATTTTGTATCGAAAAAGCGATGTGGACTAAAGGGCAATGTCCTTTCGTGGGATGCCATTCAGTCTAATGTTTACGGGGATGTAGGCATAGAACAGTATGTGGATCTTTGTAAAGGTGAGTGAAATTACGGTTGGAACTATAGACATTGAAAAAATATTTCTGTGGTGTTTATTTAATTTTATTTTAACAGGAAAACATTGCAATAAAACCGAATGTTATTGTTACAAACAAAATTTGGCGGAATGTAAGTGATTTTTTTCAAAATTTAAATGTGTTTTTGAGTCATTTGTTTCGATACTTTTTGATGTACACAATAAGATTTATATTTTTGGTATTAGCTTATTTATTAAGCATTGTTTAACTTTATAATAGCTGATAAAACATACATTTATGGAAATTATTGAAAGTCGTGAAAGAATTATGCTACTATGGAAGTGTTTATGATAAGGTGAAAAAAACACGGTATCGTTACTTTGTTTATTGAAGTGAAAATGTATAGCTAGAATTATTGTAATAATGTAGACATTGCAGCTACTATATAATTGCGCAGTGTCTTGTTTAACTGCTTACAGAATGAAATTCGCACAGCAGAAAATTACTGTATTTTACCTGATTAGTACTTTTAGTCTTATTATAATTATCATTACGTCTATGTTTAACTTCTTAATTACTTAAATGGATCTGATGATAATCTGTAATTTGTACTAGGAAGCTGCATGAGAGGAACCGTGGTCAGGCACTCGAGAAAACTTACAAGATTTTCTTGTAAGTTTTAAAAAGAATTACAATTTGTAATTGTGTTCGGTTTAAGTATTGAATGACAATGGAAGTTACGAATGGAGTCGTGTGATTAGTACTAATAAACCGGAACAATTTAGGGATTGGGACGTGCCGCACAGAAGCACGTGGTACACATCTACAATCGTACATTGAGGGACGAGCTTTCCTTTTAACAATTTTAGTCGAGCAGAATTTTCGTAGACAAAATGGAACACATTTATTTGAATGCCAGCGCTCGAACTTGATACTTTTTAATCATAAAGCATGCTGCATTCTTTTAGTTGCTATTTTTCAGGCAATGAAACCGTTCCTTTTCAAAAGAGAAAAAAAAAATTGAATTGGACAGAGAACAGTGAATTATTAGTTGCGATTCCCCCACCAGTTGGGAACTAAGCAATCACTAATACTTTAATTTTCGCAGTTAACGAAAATTTACGCGTAAGCGGCAATGTTTACCGTGTTTTATTACTGGTTACCAGTTTACAATTTACCGGTAATCGGTTACTAGCAATAAAAAATGTCAGTGTATTTGGAATCCCCAACTGTAATGACAACCCGTAGGTAATTGCGTTGAATGTAACGATGTGATAATTTCTGCTTAACTATGTTAAATACCTTACATCATAACTGTTATGCTTACGACAACGAGGATTATATAAACGTTCGTAGCGACGATAATCTGTGTCGTCGTATCGGCAGAAATGACAGATAAAGATTATAATTTTCACGACACCACTAATACAAAATCCTACCGAATAAACCTTGTGGAAATTGATAAACGTTGAACGTGTACAGCACATACTATACATAAGCTGTATCGATTGAAAATTTATTGCGAAACTAATTGTGAAATTTATGTACGCTTTCAGATGAAACATGTTTAAGGCATTTGGATTCGTGTATTTCGTTTTTATGTTTACATGGAAAATGTACAAATGGAAAAATCTGCGAATGTCGCAAAGGTTTCTATGGAAAGTTTTGCCAATACTGTAATAAATTAATTTATTTTATAGAAAATACACAGAATATTGGAAGATCTAATGAAACGTTGTACAATCTTTTTTAGATGAAGACAAATGCTTAATAAATAATGGAGGATGCAGTCATTTCTGTAAAAGTTCATTAGGGAACGTGACTTGTACGTGTCCACCGAAGATGAAGTTATTAAGTGATGAAAAAACGTGCACAGGTACAGTATATTTTACTGACAAATTTTAACACGTAAATACGAATTAATTTGAATTTCATTAATTAAATTCCGTGCAGAAACAGAAAGATGCCTGATAGGAAATAGGGTTTATATGGTAAGTAAGCTTTTTAAGTAATTTTAGATGATTTTTTAAAAATTTTAATTAGTATTTATTAAATTAGAATGGAGATACATGGAGTGAAAAATGCCAAAGGTGTCGATGCAACTTAACCGTTATAAAATGTTTCAATATATCTTGTCCGACATTAAATTGTCGCAAAGTAAGTTTGTCTTTAATTAAAAATGATTTTAAAACTCTCACGATAATTTGTTTAAAAACATTGACATGTATTCAAGAATGAATTAAGGATACAAGAACCCGGGACATGCTGTGCCATGTGTATCTCAAGTAATGATCAATATTATTATATGTAATCAGTGATGCCACTCTAAAGAATTTTACACTAAGTTCTGTTAGTAACAGAAGATACAATAAGTTTACAGTTTCTTTAAGCAGCAAATTTAAATGTTAGTTTGGAGCAACTGATTCTATAATTTAAATTTTCAGCAATATTTTATGGAATTAGCTTGAGTTTTCGTTAGAAATTCGAATATACTCCCGATGTATAGCAATTATCTTAGTTTTCAGTATCTTAGTTAAACTGTTTGAGTGACATCACTGTACTTATTTTTTATTTCATATTTATTTTATAACGGATAATGACATGCCATTTTAGATTCACGCTACTGTGTTATCGAGAATAACAGATTTCAAACATTCGATTTGTCAACATTTACACACAAAGGAATGTGCCAGTATGCGCTTCTACACGATTGCTTTGAAGGACAATTCAGCGTTAGATACGAAAAGTCGGGAAGTAACACCACACAAAACGATTTCATTATTATTGCTAATTGTGCAAAGTTGAGGATCACCGCAGAGGGCGCATGTATCATTGACGACGAAAGGATAGAACTTCCATACGTCGTAAATGCTAACATGCGAATCAGCAGAGATAATTTGGATAATTCTTTAACAATTTCGTCTAAATTTTACGTCACCTTCATTTGGTACTCATCTACGAAGGTTAAAATATTTATAAACCAAAAACGGAAAGCGAAAGTTTGTGGATTGTGTGGGAATTTCAACGACGACAAAGACGATGATGAGGCAACTCTGCCTTCAAAACTGATCTGGGTAACGATTAATTTCAGATTAAATTAGAGATTTCTAGTATTAAAATACGAGATATAAAAACACTGAAACTGTTTCAGCCATCCACTTACAATAAGGAGAAATGTGGAAAAATCCTGACAGTGGATAATCGAACAGAACTGCCCACGGGACATGGACAAGACTACACGCAGGAATCAGATTATTATGACTACGTAACAAAGAAACCTGATAGTGATATCGACGAAATAGTCGATAAGCTCATGAAACCACTTAAAATTATAGTTTTCTGCTTCACAGTCGCAGGATATTTATTTGTAATTTTATTATTTCTATTTCTATTACATAAAGAGAAACAAAATGTCGATTTGATAGAGTGAAGAAATATAGGGTTAAACAAAATTAAAATAATACTAAAATTATTTCTTCTGTTTTTGTGAATTTTTTTGTAAAGTTATCATCGTCGTGCACATATGATTATGTGGTTCTTGCATGATTCGTCTACTATTGTGCGTGAAATAACATACACACATACATACATACGTGAAATAACATACACATACATACATACATATATGTGATCTGCATGATCACATATAACTAGGAGAAAGTCACTTGTATAATATATACAGATAAGACACTAGGCATATTAAATAATACAAATTCGTTTTTTTTTCTTTACTACTGGGTGCATTAAAAGACACAAGGCATTTTACATTATCTTTATTAATCTTCCATAGGCCGATACGCGTCTCGAGCATGGCCCTTCATCTGTCGGCATTACATCCGGAATTTTCTTTAGGCTGCGTTGTTACATATATATTTTTTTCGTTTCAAATTATCTATTTACAGTTAAAATCGTTAAAATATCATTGTAGTTTAAAATATATTTGTAACAGCGCAACCTAAAGAAAATTCCGGATGTAATGCCGACGAACGAGGGACCTTGCCCGAAACGCGTATCGGCCTATGGAAGATTAATAAACATGATGTAAAATGCCTTGTGTCTATTAATGCACATAGTAGAGAAGAAGAAAACAAATAAAGAAAGACACGGTCTCGGAAATACATAACTAATACAAATTCATTATCAAGATTGAAGAAATCGATTTCAGGCCTGTCTTTGATCTCAATTTAGTAAATATTTTCTCATTTTCTTTACGCATTTGAAATTACATAAATATATTATATAATTAAAATTTTATTAGAAAAAATATGGTTGAGTTGTTGTATATACTTGGGCTTCAATTTCTCTTTTCTCTTGTCCGTGCTGTTCATTAGCTATAAGTGTTACAACATATTATACCTCTGTTTTTCAACCTTTCAAGGGAGTCACAGACCAAAAATCTAACCAACTGTCTAGGCCAAATTACATAAAAACGATTGAATTTCAATAACAAAATTATTAAAGAAAACACATTATATGCATTACGAGTGCACACATTTGATCTCTCACGTAGACCGTTTATTACGAGTGTAGTGCGAGTCCATTTTTCCTTGTGTCGAGATATTGAAGGGTCTTCATTTTGTCGATTCAAATCTACCGAAAATTTTTGATTGTCTCCAGATTTTAGTCGTCACGTATCAGGCAACACTCAATATTTTTTCTGTGGCCTTATAATAGTAGCTAAGCTGAAAGGGACAAATTCAAAATATATTGGAAAAATGCTTTACATTATCATATAAGATCACTTCTAAGTTTTTAGTGCCATGTTTGATGCATAATGTGTTTTGCCATTGTATGGGGGAATCGAAGCACTATTAGACATACTGAAACTGTTATAATCGTAGTATGTTTGTGTACGGTCGAAAACACAAAGGAAACTGCGTGTCCTTTACCAGACATTCTGCTCAAAACTTTCCTTACTGTTTTGCTAATACACCCAAAATTGATCTTACGTTCTTAGCGTTTCCTCTAAAATATGGCTATCGGGAAAATCATGATCTATATAATAATTTATATTTGATTTAGTGAATGTCTCTTCAATCCGAAAAAAATTTTTCGGTAGACTACCTCACAGCCAATTCAGGTTATAAACTCCTTTTATTGCTTTTTACAGATGCATTTCGAGCTAAATATATAAGCTGGTAAAATATTGTAAACGGGACTAAAAGTACCGTATAAGCAGGGCTGTGGAGTCGGAGTCGGAGTCGTCAAAAAATCCGTTGACTCCGACTCCTTTTTACTTACCAACTTGTTATGTATATAAAACGGAAAAGTATTGGAATCGTGTCAAATTTGACCCTCCAAGTTTTTTTTTTTTTTGCAAATCTACAATTTTCGAGACCTCTCGAACCCCTCAAAAAGTCAGTAAAGGGGAAAAGTTCGCGCGCGCGTGTGTTGGCATCTAATTTGTTTAATTTCTTTATTTTCTGTTCTGAGATATTGTTTAATATCTCAGAATTCATGCCCATTTCTTTGCCCATTCTGAGATATTAAACAATATCTCAGAATGGGCAAAGTTTAAGAAACGAAATGTAGCACTGTAGCTTGCGTATAAAGGGGCATTAATACTATTAAATTTTGGTTCTTAATTAAAGGTCGACAGGGTGAAGACCTAAAAGTGGTCATGTGTCATATCTCTTAATCAATATTTTACTCTTATTGTAAATTTTCGTCCGATGGAGATGATTATGATTAATTCTTTTGAAGACAAAGTTCTTTCTTTTGAAGACAAAGTCTGGAACACAAAGTTAATAAATGGTGGTTCCTATTTTTTGGAAAGGACTTTGTCTTCAGAAGAATTAATCAATATTTTACTCGTTATTAGCATTCAAAATTAGAATATAATTAATTATTCAAAATTAAAATAAAATCGTCTCTACCCTCAAAGTAAGCTTTTTAGCCATTTTATAATAGTACAGTAAAACCCATTAAGATGTTCTCGCCTAAGATGTTAGAATGTATATGGGGACACGATTTAGTTCAACTACTTTAACGCTTAATAACTAACTCCTTTGTTAAACCATCTGACTCCGATTCTGACCACTCTGACCACAGAAATTATTAGGCTTCAAACGGGGTGAACAAAATCATATCCCCCCTACACAGTCTAACATCCACACATATAGAAAAAACTGGAATCTTTTGTATATCTCGAAATTTCAAGGTGTCCTGAGTCCAAAAATGTAAAAATTTTTTGACTCATTTTTTTGAGCCAGCGCTACACTTTTTCTCTGTTACCCTATATATAACAGCCGGAAAAGTAAAAATTATCGAATACATATTTATATATTACTTAGAGAAGTCTTTTAGCTCTGGAATAAAAAGTTTCTAAGCTCTATCTTTATTAGAACTCTATTTATTGAATCTTTTATTCTGAGGTCACGTGATAACATCAGAATTTCCGTGTTTCTTTCGGTAACAAATCCGCCCCTGGTCGGAGTCGGTAGATTTTTACGCGACTCCACAGCCCTGCGTATAAGTGTGGGAAAAAAATTAGAAACTCATGGAAACTCTTAAAAGCACTGAAGAGGAGCTAGTAAATTAACCTAGCTCGAAATGCATCTGTAAAAAGCAATAAAAGGAGTTTATAACCTGAATTGGCTGTTAGGTAGTCTACCGAAAAGATTTTTTCGGATTGAAGAGACATTCACTAAATAAACATTAAAAACAACTAAACCATCAGAAAATTCAAAATAATAATTTATAGCGAAGCCCGAAAGCCATTTAGCCTAATGTATTTTCTACAAATTATTTTAAAGTCTGGTTAATCGTTCTTAAAAGCTTAAAAAAATGGCGACCGGAAGTGCCGCTATTGGGACTACCTACGTAAACTTATCCAACCTTTTTAACGCTGTTGAAAAGTGATTTATCGTTTCGCAAATTATTTATTGGCGTATTTAAATTTGCAAGAATAAAAATCAGTTATTAATGCTATTATTATTACTTAACATAACAATGAACGTAATTTTATATTGTTTATTTTTATAAATTGTAATATTACTAGTGTTTACTCACATCAATATGAATTTTAGCTATATTCGTAATCTACTACTAGTATTGTATTTCGCACACTTGCTGATACACCACAGATTTGTTTTGAGTGCATTAGAGCCCTACGATAAAAATAACGCAGTCTTACTAGTGGAAGAATCAGCCATAAATGATGAATTTCAACGAAAATTGATGGAAAGAATGGTTTATAGTAATATCACAAGGATTGTCGCCATACTTACTGCGACATCTCTATACTTTACTATTGAATATAAAGGAAATGGTAACTGTAGTTTCTTGATGAATTCGAATTCTATGATGCCCATGCTGAAAAGTATAGACAATATAGGAAATATGGTGAAGTTATGGAAATTATGCGCGAAAATTGATAATAAAGAGTGAGTTTTTTTAATTATGCGAAATGTACGGTTACTATTAAAGTATTCCATGTAATAAATAGGACATAATGTTCATTTCTTTCACTATTCGGTTATCTAATAATAAATTATATCGAACGCTTTAGAATATCAAATGCCATTTATTTCAATGGATCACTTAAAGAATGGAACCAAAATAGTTTCTATTTTGGCAGAAAGTATGATTCGTCTAAAACGTTTTATCAATTAAAGCATTGTAAGTATAAATGATTCATCTCTATACTAATAGAAGATTACTCATGTTTACATTAATTTTTAGCCTGTAAAGAAAACCAGTGTGAAAATGGTGGAACGTGTCACGATACTTTGGAAGGTTATAAGTGCCTATGTAGGCCTCAATTTAGCGGGCGCAATTGCGCTGTATCTAGATTTGCAAGAGCAGAAGATAATGAAGATGATGATGATGAATTTAATTGCACTATTAAATGTCAGAACGAAGGAGTGTGTTATAAACAGGAGAAAACTTACCTGTGCTATTGTAAACCTGGATTTACGGGGCAATATTGTGAAATATATAACGCATGCAGGAAATGTATGGATATGTTTACACAATTTTTTAAAATATTCGTAAATTTTAGATGATAACGTACAAATTAATGCTTTATTAGCTAAGTGCTTAAATGGGGGAACTTGTTACACAAGCATACGCAGTGCTAAATGTAGGTGCATTGACGGATTTCGAGGTGAATTCTGTGAGGAAAACATAGACGATTGTGAATACAATCGATGCCAAAATGGCGCGACCTGTATTGATAAAATACAGGTATTCTTTTTGTGGAAACTAATGGAATATCACACTGAACTATCGTGTTTATAAATACAGTAGTTATTACTAATTATAACCATTTATTTCTAGAAATATTCGTGTTGTTGTCCACCTGGATATACCGGGAACCTTTGTGAAAAGAAATTAACGTGTTTCCGGAATGATTGTAAAAACGGAGGAACGTGCATTCTTGTTGGAAGAAGCGAAAGATGTGTTTGTTTGAAGGGATTTGACGGAAGACGTTGCGAAATAAATAATCAGTGCCGTAAGAATCCGTGTTTAAATGACGGAATTTGTGTTCCTTCTTTTCCTCGCTACGAATGCAAGTGTCAGCCGGAATTTACTGGAAAAAATTGCGCTAAACGTGAGCCATATTCTTTGACATCATTTAAGATTAATTAAGAAATAAATTCCTAAGCCGTTCGACCAAGTGCTACGAAAATCAGCAGTTGCATTCAAATATTTCTAAAATGAGTAATGACCTGTATATTTGATTACTATAAAATCAATTAATTTCTATCTATATTTGATTTGCTGATTTACACGTATCGTCATCTATTGGCATTACATTAACAAACTAAATATAAATTTTACAAAAAAGGATATAATTTTGAAAATATATATTATGTTCACTCAAATACTGCGACAATCATATACCGCGAAATAGACGCGATTTATAATTACTGCGACAGGTAACGCAGCAATTGCATGAGAGCAATCGAAAGAGTTACCCTGTGAATAGTATAAATATTTAATTTTGCATATTAACACCTTTTACCTGTCTAACACGAAGCACTTTTGAAGTATTAATAGTAGACCAATATTAATAGATAGTCGTTGATTATCCTCTCTATCAGGAGGGGTCAACGACTACTTTTGGTAAAATTATTTCGACCTCCTTCTGCAACAATCCGTTCTTTCAGTCGGACCAGCAGTATGGTGACATTCGAATAGAAAAATTACATAATACGAGGTTACCGGCGGGAACAAAATATGATTTTAAGTGGTTTAATTCGGTAATCTTATAATGAAATTTCATTCCTTGACAGATTACACCTTGATATTGGGCTGCGAAAAGTACAGTTTTTTAAAGTTAACATTAGGAAAAAATATGACATCTTAAAGTTTTTAAGATATTGTATTTCAATTGCTGTCTACTTGACCATTGAAAGTGTGCCATTTCATACCATTCGAGTACCGCGATAAACGTGATAATGTTAGGCTAAATTAAGCAAACTCTTGTTATTATTTCCGTTTTACTGTATGTTATAAATAGAAATTTATTATTTAATTTAAATACTTAAAATTTCAGAAAGGAGGATGTTGTACGCGTTGAAATTCGAACCAAAATCGAATTATTCAGTGAAGATAAGAGACATTCCTCCATTAAGTGAAATGACAATGTCTTTGTTCGTCAAATTTCCAAATTCTGGCATATCGAAGAACCGAGGAACAATTTTCTCATTGAAATTCGAAGATAAATATTCTTATGTACCTGAAGGATTTGCTCTCAGTGACTTTCCATACGTGAGATTGCTTGCATTCAAAAGGACTTTTACTATAAATTACGCAAGGAGGTATTTCTTTTAATATGCTGCGTTTATATATAAAAGCATTTACTCAACGTCTATGATGTTAAAACACAATACTTATTCCAATCATATACATACAATAAATTATTAAGACGCACATATGAATTTATATATTTAATATGTATATGGTTTAGTAGGTATGGTTTGAAATAGAAGATACGACACGATATAAATAAAATAAAATTAATTATAATTATGAAAAGATTTTTTGAAAATTTACTGGTGTTTTTTTCCCCTTTTACTTCGCGGGTTCCAGGGTCTTTGTCTTCTCTGGTGCGCACGATTCGGACGACCGTCCCATTTTAAGTGCTTGTGCTATGAAGTGTTTATGTCGATAGTTGTTTTTGAGGAAAATAATATTATACGTAGGACACAATATATGAATAGGACACAGTATTTAGGTGACGGTTGATGAACGACTCTTCCGAGTGGGGGAAGCAAGTGGCTTTTATAGTTTCGTCGTCGGAGAATGGTCATGTGATTAATTGTTGTGAGGTAAAAGGTACGCGGATGGGTCAAAGTTGTCTCCGGGACCATGCTAACTATCAACTTTGGAGTTGGAATGTGGGGTTATTTTCGAAGTGGACGGATGTTCACTTTGAACGAAAGGGGAGATTGGAATTTTTCACTTTTTTAAGTTATATTTTATTTTAGGTTTAAAGGAAAATTTAATTGAGGTTTTTGGGAAAATACAGGACTTTAATCGAAAAAAATAATCAGTAAAAACTCCGTATTTCACATTCATATCTAGTTTTATGGGATTTCAGACTCGTTCAATGTAAAGATCGCAATAAGCTTCGTCATCCAATATTAAGTCCTTCATCAAATCACTTTCATTGTATCTCCTTCAACTCTGAAGACTTTGGAGCGTACCTAAAATTTATTTTTTCGACGTTTAAGTCATTGAATTACACTTAAAATTATTATACTAACGAACCGGCAGAATCTAGTTGAACGTTTTCTTGACATACACGTTCGTGAATACATGGCCTTTCGTTGTGTGGAAGGGAGGCGCAGTGTGGTTTTATATTGATAATTTTAAGCTCCTATCCGGACGAGGTTTCTGGTTGTGATGGTTATATTCAGACGACAATGCAGTATTCATGAGAAAGATGCAATTTGCAAACAGATTTTGTTATTAACGCTCTATACTGTTCTATTTTTTGTTTCCATTCTGTCGTTACAACGTAGAATGGGATCATATTAAGATTAAATTTGAGTTTGTTTTATAATCTAAATTTCTGTATTTAATTAATTTACACAATTACTAATCTGAGTGAATGTCTTTTTTTGTAGTGATTTTTGGCACTCTTTCGTTCTGATGTGGGATGGAATGATCGGTAAAATATACGTTTATTGGGATGGAATTGAAGTGACGAAAGACAAAACATTCCAATCGAGACGAATTACTATGTTAAACAGTACTTTGGCTCTCGGTCAAAATCTAATTGGTAGAGGAGAGTCAGAACCATTCGTGGGAGCAATATCGCAGGTAATATTATTAACATTATGTTATTGCTTGTTAAATAAACGAGAAATTTATAATAATATAAATCTATTGAGGTTTAAAATATCAATAGATATTACTTCCCGACAAGTATTGTTTTTTAATGTGTAATTAAGTACATTTAATTGAGTCCTAACATATAACTGTTTTCCGGGTGTGAAGATCTTAACAGAAGTTCAACAATTACCACTTCTAGTGTTAGTTATATATTGTAATTGTGATTCCAACTTCTACCTCCAAATGTCATTTTAGAGCATGGATTTCTTCCTAATGTATATTTTTTCGAAATCAATTATTATTCAATATTTTTTAATTCTTGTTGAACTTCCACCTTGAACATCACTAGTATAAACATAACAGTTTCTTTGCAGTCAGTCAGATTGTTATAATTTGGTTTGAATTCTACATGATATTATTATTTTTAACTGAAGAATTGCTACAATTACGCCTAAATTATGTAATACTTATAGAGTCATTTCCTTGTAACAGCTTAACAATTACTGTAAATTGTGGTGTGTTCAATAAAGATAACAACAGCAAGTTTTTAAACATTGATTTTAGATGGTGAAAGAAATGGATTATAGCCAAACTGACTTATTTGAACGTGTTTTTACATTTATATACAAAGTATCAAGTTCTAATACAAACAATAGAAAAATTTTATTGAAGAAATGAAGATTTTGAAGTGTTCAATAAGTAGAATACACTATTGCTTTCGAATAATGGAGAGAAAATGTTATTTATGAAAGCTAAAAAGATAATTATTGAAAGCTAACAATCAGAATATCCTTCTTTGTATGCGATTACTTTGAAAACTTTATCATCGACTCGCTCAACTTTTGAAGAACACCACGAGGAGTTTCCTCGTATTTCTTAATAATAGCAGTTTCGGGTCTGCGTTATACGCCCATCTACATCGAACTTTTATTATCTGTCCATACTATATTTCTTCACTGTTTCTTCTATATCGTGTGATTTCTGTCACAAATCAGTCTGGCAGCCTGTGTATATCTGTAAGAGTTGATTCCGGCTTTTTTTGCCATATTCTAGATGATTGACAGAACGAATTACGTTCCAAACTGTCGCCGAGCTTACTCCATATTCGTGTTTTGTAGCAATATTTCTGACGGATGTTGTTCCATTCATAATTTCTCATAAAATTACTCATTTCTTAGAAGAAGTGAGTTATTGTTGCCCTCCAGCATTCTTAACTATATTCTTCGCCTAACTTCAAATAAATCCTAATCTTAATTTCATTCCGATATATAATGTCGTTGTTGTTTATGAATTAAGAATAGTGCATCGTGATTATTGATGGGTCATTTCACAAAAGTAATATTTGGATTTTCTAGGTAAACATATGGGACACGATACTTCCAAAAGATTTTGTACGGAAAAAGCGATGTGGACTAAAGGGCAATGTCCTTTCGTGGGATGCCGTTCAGTCTAATGTTTACGGGGATGTAGGCATAGAACAGTATGTGGATCTTTGTAAAGGTGAGTTAAATTACGGTTGGAACTATAGACATTGAAAAAATATTTCTGTTGTGTTTATTTAATTTTATTTTAACAGGAAAACATTGCAATAAAACCGAATGTTATTGTTACAAACAAAATTTGGCGGAATGTAAGTGATTTTCTTCAAAATTTATATGTGTTTTTGAGTCATTTGTTTCGATAATTTTTGATGTACACAATAAGATTTATATTTTCGGTATTAGCTTATTTATTAAGCATTGTTCAATGTTTTCGAATATTGTTTAACTTTAATAACTGACAGAACATAAATTTATAGAAATTATTGAAAGTCATGAAAACATTATGCTGCATTGGAAGTGTTTATGATAGAGTGAAAATAACACGGTATCGTTAGCTTCTTCACGGAAGTAGAGAATGTATACCTAGAAATATTATCGAAATAGTGCAGACATAGCTGCTAATACATAATTGTACAGTGTCTAATGGAAAAGTTTAGAGTGAAATTCGCACAGCAGAAAATTACTTTACTTGATAAATGCAGTTCATTAAATTTTATTCCAGTTATAATTGTGTCTACATCTAACTTGTTGACTTTACAAATTTAAGATCTGATAATGATCTGTAATTTGTACTAGGAAGCTGCACGAGAGGATCCGCTGTCACGCATTCGAGAAAAACTTACAAGATTTTCTTGTAAGTTTTTAAAATTATTGAATAAGAGTGAAAGTTACGAATGGCGTCGTGTGATTTGTAAAAATAAACCGAACAGTTCAGGGATGGGACACATTCTCCAAGGAAGCTCGTGGTACACATCTACAATCGTACATTGAGGGACGTGCTTCCCTTTTAACGGTTTTAATCGAGCAGAATTTTCGTTGACAAAATGGAACACATTGAAATGCAGCGCAAGCATTTCATACTTTTTAATCATAAAGAATGCAGTATTCTTGTAGTTGCTATCTTCCAGGCGATGAAACCGTTCTTTTTCAAAAGAGAAGAAAAAATTTCAATTGCAACAGAGCGTAGTTAATTATTAGTTGCGATTCACCGATAAGTGGAAACTAAGCAATTATTAATACTTTAAGTTTTGCATTTGAAGTCAAAACTTAAAAACTAACGGCAATGTTAACCGTTTTCTATTACTGGTTACAGCTTACAGGAAAATTGTAAACAATTTACCTGCAAGCGGCAACAAGAAATACAGAAATCAAAGATGTCAGTGTATTTGAAATCCTCAATTGTAATGACAACCCGTAGGTAATTGCGGTTAATTTAATAAATAATTATCAAAATTTTTTTCCCGCGCGAAGAAATTTTATCGCGATTTTAATTTACCTTTAATGACGCACGATTCACGCTTTATTACTTTTTAATTGTTTTTTAATGCGAGTTTGATATCAAATTTTATTCGTTGTTCTAAAGTTGTAGTGCACGGATTTTCCTTCGGTAAAGTTATCTAAAGCTAGATTATGATGTCAAAAACGACCTCGGATAGTTTTTAAATTTTTTAATTAATAGATTTTATTATATATAAGTATTATTAAGTCGGGGTGTTCGGAAATCGCAATAAAAATTTTAATTTTTTTAAAATATTTAAAAATATACGGCGAGCTAGTATTCACCCTACTTTAAACCCTTGTCCTCCCGAGATGTCTATGAGAATGTCCCGGGAAATCCAATTCCAGCTGTGTTCAAGGTCACCCAGCTGTGTAAATAATGACTCATCAGCGTCAGATTTCACAGAAACGCGAGACAAAGGAAAATAAAATTTAAACGTTTTTCTTCGAAATTAACGCATTTCTTTCGTTTTTTTCAGTTTTAAATATATTTTATGTTTAATTACATTAATATCAAAAATTTCTTCGTACGCAATGGGTTATTAATGTAACGATGTGATAATTTCTGCTTAAGTATATTAAATACCTTACAGCATAACTGCCATGCTTACGACAACGTGGATTATATAAACGTTCGTAGCGACGATAATCTGTGTCGTCGTATCGGCAGAAATGAGAGATAAAGATTATAATTTTCACGACACCACTAATACAAAATCCTACCGAATAAAACTTGTGGAAATTGATAAACGTTGAATGTGTACATCACATACTATACATAAGCTGTATCGATTGAAAATTTATTGCGAAACTAATTGTGAAATTTATGTACTCTTTCAGATGAAACATGTTTAAGGCATTTGGATTCGTGTATTTCGTTTTTATGTTTACATGGAAAATGTACAAATGGAAAAATCTGCGAATGTCGCAAAGGTTTCTATGGAAAGTTTTGCCAATACTGTAATAAATTAATTTATTTTATAGAAAATACACAGAATATTGGAAGATGTAATAAAACATTGTATGTTCTTTTTTTAGATGAAAACAAATGCTTAATAAATAATGGAGGATGCAGTCATTCCTGCAAAAGTTCATTAGGGAACGTGACTTGTACGTGTCCACCGAAGATGAAGTTATTAAGTGATGAAAAAACGTGTACAGGTACAGTATATTTTACTGACAATTTTGACACGTAAATACGAATTAATTTGAATTGCATTAATTAAATTCCATGCAGAAACAGAAAGATGCGTTATAGGAAATAGGATTTATGCGGTAAATAAATTTTTTAAGTAATTTAAGACGATTTTTTCTTAATTATTTATTTATTAAATTAGAATGGAGATACATGGAGTGAAAAATGCCAAAAGTGTCAATGCAACTTAACCGTTATAGAATGTTCCAATACATCTTGTCCGACATTAAATTGTCGCAAAGTAAGTTTGTCTTTAATTAAAAATGATTTTAAAACTTTCGTGACAATTTGTTTAAAAACATTGATATGTCTTCAAGAATGAATTAATGATACAAGAACCCGGGACATGCTGTACCATGTGTATCTCAAGTAATGATCAATTTTATTATATGTAATCAGTGATGCCACTCTAAAGAATTTTACACTAAGTTCTGTTAGTAACAGAAGATACAATAAGTTTATAGTTTCTTTAAGCAGCAAATTTAATTGTTATTGGAGCAACCGATTCTATAATTTAAATTTTCAGCAATATTTTATGCAATTAGCTTGAGTTTTCGTTAGAAATTCGAATATACTCCCGATGTATAGCAATTATCTTAGTTTTCAGTATCTTATTGAAACTGTTTGAGTGATATCACTGCACTTATTTTTTTATTTTATATTTATTTTATAACGAATAATGACACGCCAATTTAGATTCACGCTACTGTGGTATCAACAATAACAAGTTCGTAACATTCGATTTGGTGTCATTTACTCACAAAGGAATGTGCCAGTATGCGCTTCTACACGATTGCTTTGAAGGACAATTCAGCATTAGATACGAAAAGTCGGGAAGTAACACCACACAAAACGATTTCATCATTATTGCTAATTGTGCAAAGTTGAGGATCACAGCAGAGGGCGCATGTATCATTGACGACGAAAAGATAGAACTTCCATACGCCATAAATACTAACATACGAATTATCAGAGATAAATTGGATAATTCTTTAACAATTTCGACTAAATCGTACGTCACCTTCATTTGGTACTCATCTACGAAGGTTAAAATATTTATAAACCAAGAACGGAAAGCGAAAGTTTGTGGATTGTGTGGGAATTT